AGATATGGATAGATCCATATATATAGAATCATAAAATCACAGAATCATAGAACCACAGAATGGCCTAGGCTGGAAGGGACCTTAGAGATCATTTAATCGAACCTCCCTGTCATGGGCAGGGACACCACCTCTCAACTAGATTAGGCAACACATGGGGACCGAGCAGGAATCGCACCCGCGACCGCAGTGTTGTCATTGTTGTCAGCACCATGCTCAACCCACTGAGCTAACCAGCCCCCTTATATACATATGCGTAAGTGCATATATACATAAAATATATATATTCAAAAAGCCAAGCACTGGGATCTTCAAAGATCTTAAAAGTGCAACACATCACATTCAGAAGGGCTTGGGAAAACCTTGTGAAGTTGCCCCTTCCAACACCTCTTTCCTGGGGATTAGATTACTGTTTCAGGACCTCTGTCCATCTAAACCTCTGTGTACCTTTGGAATTCTTGTGCATGCATGCACGCACACCCAAAGTACACATAAATAAAAAGACACAGTTAAAGAAAAATCATCAAACAGATAAGATTAAAAATGGATTGTTTTTTTCCATTTATCCTCCTGTTAGCAGCTAAAGCCATGGTTCAATGAGCAGATAAAACCATTAAGACAATTTAATATGACCGCCAGGAAATGCATCCCAAAGAACCTTTTTTGTAATAATTTCACATTAAATATTTCAGAGGAAAAAAAAAAAGGTGCAATAGATCAAATACATCCTTCTAGCAAAGTCATTACCTCTGAATAGTCTAGGAGGCTTTGGAAGCACTATTTCATTTCTCTTTCTTCCTTGTATTTAATTTTTAGCAAGCTAGGACACAGCAGGTAAATATAAACATTTCACATTTTGCAAAGATGCATCTTTTTTAAAGTCCACTGTTATGCAGAAATTACTTAACAACACCAGAACTATGAAATTTTACCCTATGGGAGAGGCTAATATTGGGTAACAGCTACTCACCTATGACACCTCACCTAACGTTATCAAAAGAAGGAAACACTGCTCAAGGAATTAAATATTTATTCCTGTCAAGGTATAACTAGAGCACAAAAATACGTTTCTACCTCCCACAGCCTTTATCAAGCTGTCAAGTTCTCCATAGCATGGTGTTAACTGAGTCATAAAGGGAAAAATATCTAAAGCAGGAGAAATGTGTGAACCCTTGCTTGAGGATGCACTTGGTCATTCGGTGAGAAACCAGGAAAATTCTTGACTAGTCCTGATCTCTGCAGGTGCAATTCAGCAGCAAGCTCGGTCTGTGATTTCCACATAAACGCTTGATTTCACTACTGAGATGACACAGGACAATGCGTCTGTCCTTGGACACAGCTTCAGCTCTGACCTTTCTCGTCTGGACAAACTATTGATGAGATTCAAAGCACAAAAATTTTCCTCTTTCTCTGTTCCAGCATCCTTCCTTCTCTGCACATGTATTTATCCTCTGCTTTGCAAAAATAACTCAACAACCAAGGCTGATCTTAAAGGTTGTTTGATGGCATATTCTTAAATAGAGTGAAAGGAGAGACATTGCCATGTTTCCATTATAAGCCTTTAATTTAGATTCATATCAGGAGGTCATTTAAAAAAAAATAAAAAATTCACAACTCACTTGGGTTTTGCTTGAAAAATCCCACTGAAATGTAAATTTTTATAGGCAGAAATGTCACTATAAGCCTACAAGTACACATCCTCCATATTAAACATTAGTTTTAAACTGTGTTAAACTTGTTTTTTGTCAGCTTTCCTGTGGGGATATGAAACAATGTGCTACGTAAAAAAAAATATCTACCCAGTGTTTTTATCTTTGTGGGATTGTTTCCCCACTGCATTTCCACACCTCATTCTACCTCTTTTTAAAATGTAAAAGAACTGAACTATTGATCAGGTTTTCACACTCTAAGGACACAGTAGCAAGAAAATAACGGATCAAAGTGAATCTCTGCCGAGCTTTATCCCCTGCTTCCTTATTATCAAAGCATTTGTTCAACTTTAAGCATATGAATACTATCATTGATATTCAGCCAAGCACTTAAACTCATGTATAAATTTTATGATATAATTGAAATCACTGGGGATTAAGGATGAGAAAGTGATATGTATGAGGAATGTACTAAATTATTTTAGTGCACTCAGGTGTCATTTCTCTGCCCCATCCAAAACCTTAATTCCTACTAGCTCCTTGACCTAGAATACATGTTTAACTATTTCAGCTCTTCTTCTCACTTTAAAGTTCTTAATTTTGTAAATAAACCAATAAAGAATCCTAGGAAAATTTTTCTGAAAGTATGTAAAAGTTCTCAGGCTGTTTGACTTAATCCCAAAATTGGCTGCTGCTTTTGTTGCAGTATAGGATAAAAAGAAATATTCTGCTAGCCCTTTTCCCATTTTTTACTAAGAACCCTTTCTCTAGCCTTCTCCTCACAGTCACAGGTCAAAAGATACAGTAATTTCTGGAAGAAACATATAACTCACTCTTGTAACTTGGGCTTCTAGTTTCTTATAAAGAAGAAACAATTCCTGGAATGTGACCAAAAATAGTGTGACCACAGCATGGGAGACCACACAAGGACAGAAACTATTTCTAACTCAGGGACACGTCTGACCACCACATTGATCTTCAAACCAGTCATCTGCTGTACACTCATTTCCTGGAAGCAAATAATTATTTAAAAATAAGTAAATTCATTCATTGAGAAATATGTAATTTCTAGAAAGAGCAATGAGATTACTTCTTTTTGCATTGTAGGCACAACTGAAATAGAAAAATTTCAAGGTTGTACGTATAAAGGAATATGTATGGCACCCAGACATGTTGTGTGTGATAGTCACAAGAAATCAAAGGCTGTGGAGGTCCAGCAGTTCTTCACTACCCTGTGTTGGTAGTATGAGCTCTCTTACCTCAGTGGAGGGCTGGCTGTAGTGAACATTTCCAAAATCTACACAAATGACTTTATCCCTACACTTTATATTAGACTTAAAGATCTTCTAGATCTTTAAGAAGTGCACGATTTCAAGACTGGAAGTCTGTGGGATGAATTCTTGGTTGGTGTAGTCAACGGCATTGCGGCAACTGTGACATTGTGAAAATGAGTTCTACAATTTACTTATTTTAAGAAAAAACTTGCTGTGTGATGATTTCTTGTGTCATCCCTAGTTTTTGACTTCTAAGGACCAGTGATTACTTGTTCCTTATTTAGTCATCCCATAGCCTCACTATGATGACCCTGAAGAAACTGGAGACTCTTACCTTATTTCGTCCCTCCTTAGATGAAAACAATTCCAGACTTAGTAATCCTCATGTTTCCATGTATGTTTTCAACCTACACCATTTCTTCTTTTAGAGGAGTTGATAAAAACTACATGATGTGTTCAAACATAAGCATGTCCCTGGTGTACAGTACTACCCAATATTTTTCTCCTTCTCTATTCTACCTCTTCTCATCAAACTTAACTTCATAACTATTGGCTTTGCTCCATGAACAGAGCACTGAACCAGCTGGTTATTTTTTTATTCTGGTTTTCATGGACATTGCTTTTCACTCAACACTAAACTTGACCATGCTACCATAAAGATATTTAGAGGATAGGACCCCTTCAAAAGGCAGACAACTCACCCTGAAGTAGGACTCTAATTCACATGAACTATGTTGTCCAATATAATTCTGGAGATAAAGTTCACAGACTCTTTCCTTACAATTTTGTGGACACCATCACTGTTTTGACTGAGGGACCGATACCAGATTCCTTCTATTCACCTGTTCATCTTGAGCCATGGAACATTAATCCATCAAGCCTCTACAAGCCATGTTTATAGATTTCGATGTCTACATGTTTTCTTCTAAACATCTCTGAATTTGAGATGCTTCTTATAGCACCAACATTTTAAAGCAACCGTTCAGTTAACTCATCACAATTTTAGAGCAAAACATTTCTGAAGAAGTGCTATTAATTTCATTGCCAATTGGCTATTCTTTTTCATGCATCTTTCTGGGACATTTCCATTTGTTTCTTATTCACTATGTTTTTTGTTGTTTTTTTTTAAACTCAGTATCCACCCAACTTTTGTCTCTGCAATTTCATTTGTAAATATCCCAATTATTTTTAGATTGCTTTTTTTTGGAACCACAAGTAAGGCCAATTTATATTAGACTACAGAGCACTATAGAGAAAGCTCTTGAAGGATTTCCCCACATCTTCTAATGTATTTTGAACATGTTACTGCTGCCAGTTCTGACAGAGGAACCTTTTTATTATACAACTAAACAAAGCAAAAATAGTAATTTCCTCAAAGGCTTCTGAGAGTACATTACTTTACACAGATTGGGTAGCAGGGCAATGGAACAAACTTTAGTACTTCGCTATTTTGAGGAATAATCAGCGTATCTAGAGACAAGCATCCGAACATATCTTTAAAACTATGTTCTACATGTCACTCATGGTATACCTCAATGTTTATCGCAATGTTTCAAATCCCTTATTGGATTGTTCTCTTAAGTTGTTAGTATTCAATTATAAGAAAAATAAATACGTGTTCACTGTTTTATTTCATATATTCCAAGACCTTTTCATAACCACTGCTGAGGCTAAAAGGTAATAAAAGTAGATACTTCATCTTTGTGCAGTGGTCTTTATAATGGTCTACACAGTGTGGCACAGTAGATGATTTCCAGCATTCTGAGATACTAATCTTTTAACCTCAATACATGGAATTATCCTTATTCTGTTTCTGAGGTGTTGAATTTAAACAAAAAATTTCATCCCACGCTCAACACATATGTCTCATATGCATTGAGGCATAAAACTGTCCCAGATTTAAGCTCTGGTTTTGATCCACTGACTGTATTTGGACATCCTTGTTATAAAAAAAAAATAAAAATGAAAGTATTGATGTCTTTCCTTTGTGCCCCCCCCCAAAAAAAATTAAAAAAAGGAAGGAAATCAACTGTGATGCAGGATATATCTGTGCATTAAAATGGACGAGCCATATCCATGATTCCAAGGTTAAATGAGTTTATTGAGTTAGTGGTTACAATGGTATGTCAGATACCTGTAATCCAAGCTAGACCTACATATTTGCCTCTAAATTCTCACACTGTCAGTTTCCGTGTCTCTAAACATTTCACCACCAGGTCTTCTATTACTAATATTATAATAATAGTCATAATAATAATCATAATATAAAAGGCAATGTCAATCACCATATTGTGCTTCATACTCCACCATAAGAAATTCAATTGGCAAAAGTAAATCTCTGGTCATATTAATGGGATTAATTGAAATGTGAGCAATCATAACACTACTAGAATATAAAGAACAAAATATGGTTTAAAAGAAGCATTTTTAAGATGAATTAGTTTGTTTTAAAAATCCACATACTATAATGAAGATGACTTAAAAGTTATATCATTTAATTATTGGGCCACACATTTAAGCATATTGGCTAGTACATTTTTGCACTGGAACAGAAGCAATACAAGCTTTATGGTCTACCATTACAATTCCTTTTTTTTTTTCCCCCCCTACTTAATATACCTGCCAACTTAATGTTTCTTGCATGCATAAAAATTTCTGGGTTTAGACCTGAATTTATTATTTTGTCCGCATGTACCCCTGTGATGCAAATTCTTTGGCCAATTTAATGCTATAGTTTTGTTTAAAAAGGAAGCTCGGAATACGTCCATTTAACATCAGAAGGGAATGCCCTAAATTTTGCCCTTGCAGAAGGTCAGTTATTTCAGTAGAGTCTCAGGTCACATGCAAACTGACACTGCTTTCCCCCACCCCATGCCAGACGCATACAAGTCGGCAGGTACGCATACAAAAAGAATATAAAACCCTCCTGGTAAAGCTTAGTGGTTTAGAATGAATCCATAGCTTTAAATTCACTTAAGGCCTGTACAGGGGAAATATGTTTCTTCTGGGACCCTCTCCTCACTCTCGTCTGATACTCTTCTGGTTTTTCTCTCTTTACTAGAGGTTTCTTCTCAGGGGCCTTCATCTTCCAAGATACAACTGGTGAGTTCACTGCAGCGGTACCATAGACCTTCTGATACTTAGTAGAAGCCACATATGATGCTTTCACTGTAAGGACCACAGCGTTCATCAGATTTTTAGCTGCCTGGATGAGAGAAGTGGCACTGTCCAGCTACAAATAGAAGAAAAAAATAAAATACAGGAAGGTTACTCCACGACTGAGTCACTGGACCATTTCCTGACTGAAGTCTGGATAGCCTCAGATCTCATTAAAGGTGAAATGAATCCTTTCCCTGAGGATTCATCAACCAGCTTGTAGCAACAAGCACCAGCAACAACATGAACCAAACTGTAAGACTGTGGTACTACACATTAATTTTTTTTTAATAATTCAAAGGAAAACTTATGTCGGCTCTTTTTTTTTGTTGTTGAGATCTCATTAAAGGTGAAATGAATCCTTTCCCTGAGGATTCATCAACCAGCTTGTAGCAACAAGCACCAGCAACAACATGAACCAAACTGTAAGACTGTGGTACTACACATTAATTTTTTGTTTAATAATTCAAAGGAAAACTTATGTCAGCTCTTTTTTGTTGTTGTTGTTGATTCTTTTCCTACCAGTGAAGAAGTTGCCCCTTGTTTCACAAAAAAAAAAAACCCTTAACTTCTCACTTGAACTTTTAAAAATTTACTTTTACATGTCGGAAACCACAAAAAATGGTCAATGGGGATTTTTCCAAGTGTTTAGGTTTCGTTTAATTATTCCTGCTAAGCTCATGATAATACCCCCAATGATGTTTACAGGAACAGTGTGAGGCCAGTGCTGAGCGTTTTGGAGAATCCCATCTGAAAAGATGAAAAAAGATTTTGAAACTCCTAAAGAAACAAAAAGATGAAAGAGTTAACTGCGGGGTTTTGTATCTATTGCAAGATTTGAGCTACTTATGTTCACAAGAAATCTTACTTCATGATTAGCAGACTTTTTTTTTTACATATTACCCATGAGTCTGTCTGAGGTTCCTGGGTCCTCTGGATGTAAAAAGCCTCAGGAACTTGTTGAACGTCAAACCACTGGGACTTCCAGTGAGCAAGTTTTCATCAGATACTGAAATCAAGTACATATCCCTGGCCAAATATTTCAATAGGATTTAAGCCGACAATGGGACTTCCAAAGCAATGTCCTAATGTTCCAAAAGGCCAGTTTGGCACTTGCCAAATCCAGCTGGACATCCTCAAATTAGTAGATGCTCTTACAACAGCAACCCAGGTTACTATCTGAGATGTGCAATTATCCCCTCCCCAAAATACTGAAAAAGTGGGATATACTCTGTGTGATAAAGTTCTACCATGGAAGCTGCCTCAATTTTTGAAGAGTCTTTCCCAGTGCGTAGGAACGATTTTGGATGTAAAATCATTTTAACTCTTTAATTCCACCTCACTTGCATAGAAAGTTCTTAGCTATTTTTAATTAATACAAAAGCCCTGTCTCCCTCCAAACATTTCTTGCTCCCTATTTTGGGAGCATATGGATTCCTTAGCATGAATTGTAAGCAAGATAGATAAATATTCATAAATCAATAACAAAAAAATACATTTGTACTTCACCTCAAGTATTTTGAACCATTAACAGAAGAAGAGTTGAGGAGAAATCTCTTTCTGAAGTGCCAGTGACTGATACGAACAACAAAAGACGTTACAGAAATCCTGTGTAACCACATTACTCTACAGACTTACCTATTATTTTTGATTTCCTCAGCTGTGGCCTTATATTCATTACGATTCATTAAATACATAAACAGCTACACACAGTGATGTGAAAAACAAAACAGCATTTTAATGATTTTCACATATTTGGTGCCATTTCCTGAAATGCATAGTTAATTGCCTGCCCCCGGTAAATATTTTTCCGCAGAACTAATTTGTATTTCCTGTTAGTAAAAGAAACTGAGTTAAAAGATGGAAAATTACATTATATGACAGAAACATGACTGTTCAATAGGGAGTAATGAAATATAATTCAATGTAGTGTTATTCTATAACCACCCTACTGCATGATTTACAAGGCAGCCTGTAAGTTTGTTGGCGAGTAACATATCATACTCTATTAAATTAGGATATTCTAATTTACTGCAGAAATCTACAACCAAGCATTATTCACTGTTAAACGATTCTTTTTGTAACACCGGTGGACTGATATTGAATATAAAGTGATACCATCAAATAATACTTACTCCAGAATCAACACGGATAAACTGATGGGATCAAGCCCATGTTGCACATTCCTCAATGAGTTCTATGCGTTGAAGGTTTCTAATAGCCTCACATTTTCCTATGTTTCTTTATGGGAAGAGTTCTCCTAGCTCTTTTACATGGGGTATATTTTAGGGAACAGAGTGATTAAAGGGAGCATTTTGATATGAGAAGGCACTTAAAACAGATGCTTAAAACCATACAAAGGATGCAATCTACATCTTTAAACACATTAGTAATTTTATGGAGTGTATCGATAAGGGTGTGCAGAAGCATGTACTTCTGCCAGATCGGATACAGATTGCAGTGGTGTCTTTTAGAAAATCGTGTTACATATTTTGATGCCATTTTAATCATCTCTAGTTTCAATCTGCTGTTATAGTTGATAAGAGCTCCCTATTTTTCACCATTATTAATCACATTTTAAAATGCAGCTACTTAGTCCTTGTCCTTAATATCCATTCATATTGTAAAATGCTTTCAAGTCTTGGAATCAGAAAAGAGACATAAAACCTGCGTAATAGTGTTAGGCTGTAAGTGTTTTTCAAAATCTGCTGGTAGCCACCCCACGTACCCAATTTGGCTACTTAAGCACTTCCAGTGATTTTCTTATTGCCTCCAGCTCCCTGCTTGTATTATGGCTCAGTAAAGAAGAATTAAACTGAATGAACATAATTTCAATTAACATTTAGATCTTACTACACCACCGTGTTACTCCAGTTTTAAGCGGTGCTTTGTAATCAGCAGAGCTACAGTGGCATAAAGCTGGGACGAGGCAGCAATGAATCAAGCCCTTAGTGTGCTAATTCTTTACAAAATCTGGGCACAGGAACATAAGCACTTTTCCGAACAGATAATGTTAATAATAAAAAAATAAAAAAGTAAGAAGGAAAATTAACATTTCAAATAAAAGTACCACTAGGAACTTATTGCACAGTATAGAAGGCAAACTTTATTCCTTAGCAATGGTTGGGGAATTATGACTGTAACAAAAGCTTTTGTGCTAACAGCTAACGGAGCCTTTGACTCACTACACAAAGTAATAGTGTTCTGCTACTTAGATCTCTTTACAAATACATTTGCCTTCATTTAGGAAAAAAAAAGCGCCTTCTTAAACATAAGAGATAAATTTAGGTTATTGGTCCGTAAAACTCCAAGAACAGAGGATGCTGAGAAAAATTCAAAATTCATAAAGAACCTAAGAATCACTGCACTGGAGCTGGTCACTGATCCAGGTTAAAACTGCCATCTACCCAGGGAAGGCATAAATCATCCAGAAAAAAGTAGAGAAAAATAAGATTTTGCCACAAGCTAACTTTGTCATTACTGTATGCAAAGGTAGAACGCTGGAGCAGCAGAGCCTATTATCTGCCAAGAAGATAATTTTAGCTTTTTTTTTTTTTTCTCCAACAAATTCTTAAGGCTTTAAGGAGTTTTTGATCTGCTTATAAGCTGTGCTGCATTATTCCTGCACTACAGGTGGAATTTTCTAGAATCTTGTGACAATCAAGATTTCCTGCTTCTTTTACATGTACCCAAAATTTAAGTAAAATAGCCAGCTATTACAATACCAAAATAAATGAAGAAGCAGGAGAGAATAAAGCTGCAAATTTCCTCCTTAGCAGTAAAGCAAATGAAAAGAGATGTTCTCTCTCCAATGTCACGCTGTTGTAACAGGGAAGAATTACACTATTAGGAAGGAGAAAATATGATTTCCAGAGATATCTCCATATATATAATCTGAAATATACCACAAAGAGGGAAATACAGAAAACAAATAATCTGTTGGGTTTTTTTTTTCCAGTGAGCATGGATATAGTATAGGTAGTTTTAAAACATCTGGCTGTTTAAGAATATTCTATATGATTATTGTTGATTTTAATAAATGCAGAAAAGTGAGGGAAGACATCAAAAGAATGGTAGACAGTTCCTAGTCTGGAAATATTTGAGGAAATTAAATGACCTGTGAAATTACAGGCCAGCTTAGCTGACAGCACTCCCAAATAAAATAACGCAATGTCTGTGACAGACTCCGTAAATAAAGGGAGAAAAGCAGTGAATGGCAACCAAATGTTTTTGTGGGTAAAAGTATTTTCAAAGTAAGCTACATCATATTTTGATGTGCTTAAATTTTGGATTGTTTAAAATAAATCTGCTGATATAATTGGATGTTTGAAAGGTGTTTTGCCTGGTACTACATGATAGTTTGATTAAAAACTCAGCTGATACAAATTCTGTAATAGCCAAGTTTCCAAAATTATGTATACAGAAAAAAAATCATAGCCAAACAGTGACTTTTGCAGTGGGAACTTGGAGAAACTATTTGTCAGGTTTACAATATTAATATTTCTTTTAAAAACTTGGAAAAAAAAGTCACTTAATAATGAAATTTGCAGATACCATAACAATTGGGCATGTGGTAAGTCATACAGAGGGCAAGTGATTGCTACCTAAGAAGGTGCTAAAATCAGAAATGTAGAGTTCATTTGGGTCAGCTTCAGAGCAGATGATACCTACTTATACAAATAAGGAACTTTATCCTTACGCAGGATCCTAGGAAATCACTCCTTGCGTATACAAAAAGGAGGACATTGATGAAATAAGTTGAATTATCATATTTAGTTTATCGTATGTCCACAGTTATGGAATGCTGAGTCCTCTTTCCAATACTGAGAAACTGGAAAGAATTTTAAGAACTTCAAGGAAAAAAAAAATCTTTTACGGGAAAGTCAGTCAGCCTGTTTTTTTCCATTAATAAAATGAACGATTAAATGAGTTGATCAAAATCAGTAAACACATAGTAACAGGAAAACGATAATATTTCAAATTCAATAGATCAAAGATTTAACAATTTAATGGCTGAAAGGTGAAGCAGGTCATTATAGTTATTAATTAGCTCAATTTTTTTAGCAGTGATATTAA